AGGGTGTGATGCTCACAAAGGGTGTGCGAGGAAGTGAGATGCCCCAGGCCAGCCCCTTACCAGCCCGTCCCGTGTAACCCCGGTCCCTCCCAGAGATGCTTCCTCTGCCTCCACTGGAACATCATGTGTGCCTCGAGTCTCTGCTCCAGAAAGGCTTTTCCTGTCTCTACCACCACCAGCCGTGACAGTGTCTCTCTTGTGCTCCCCAACACCTAACCAGCATTCCTCCCCACAGCCACTGGTTTGGTACAACAGCTCCTCTCCACTGTCAATCACTACTCCATCGCATCCCTCGTGTGGCTGGGCTGGAGCTGCGGGAGACCCGCGGGCACAGGCCGGATCTGGAAACCCCTGTGAGCTGCAGCAGCCCCCTCCCCTGGTACGGGCAAGGCTCCAGGTCTGTCAGCCCCCTTGAATCCCTCGAGGGGACTCCACAGGGACCCCTGTCACCCCATGGCCTCTCTGGACCCTGTAGCATTGCTCCTGGTGACAGAAATGGGCCAATGTCCCTTCCCATGGACACTGTCACCACCGGAGGCAGGTTCTCAGTCCCATGGCCAGCTCCAGCCAAGCTGGCAGGTAACCCACCCCCCTGCCCGAGCAGAGGCCCTGCTTTCAAAGCAGCGATGCTCCATACCTACAAAGAGAACGAGGCAGGGGCCCTCATTCAGCTGCACGGCGTTGGAGTCCGTCAGCTCCAGCACAGGCTTGGGATGCCAGGGGAACTCGCGGCATTCGATGTCGTTCAGCACCTCCACACTCGCCCCTGCCGCGTGATCACATCTCCCTTGGAGTCCAGGACGATGAGAGTCGGGATGCCTGCGATGGAAAAAAAAAAACAGGAGGGGGATCAGCCAAAGCGCGAACGGGCCAGCGACAGGGCGTGGGTTCCTATCGCCTCCGGCTCTGGCAGGATCCCAGTGAGAACACTGCCTCTCCACAGCTCATGCACGGTGTGGAAATTGGGGTCCCTGGATCCTGTTTCCGTCCTAGCAGAGCGCTGTAATTCAGCAGCCAGAGCAGGAAGCTGGGAGATGAGCTCTGCCCTTCCCTGCCCAAGCGCAGGCAGGGGTCACCGCTGCCTGACACCGATGCTCCCGGATGCAAACCCCGCCGTACCGCGCAGGGACCTGCCGTGCAAGCTCTCTCTTGCCAAGTGCCAGACAGACGTGCCTCCTGCGCGCGAGGTGGAGCAGCGCTGCCCCGCAGGCACCGTCACCCTGATGCCGAGACACCGCTGCCACTGGAAGCGCCCAGTCGGCGGTTCACATGAACACACAAACCTTTCTGCAGGGCGGATCGTGGACAACGGCGGCCAGGAAGCAGGGTGTGTTCCTTCCCAGAAGGAACGCCCTATATTTTGCAGCCATGAACTCCTCTGTGAAGCCTCACACCCCTCCTTGGCGCTAACCACTCAGCCATTTCCAGAGCACAGGGATGCATCTGACAAGTCAGGAACATCGTGGTCCAGATGCTGTTTTGCACCACTCGAGCCCGGCAAGGCAGGTACCCAACACTGCCAGTGGAGGACAGGCCCCAGACCAGCACCAACGACGGTGATTTAGTGCTCAGGGCCATGGATGCCCCCAGGAACACCCAAAAGAGAGCACGCGCCTCTGCAGGTGGAGACGGAGTGGGATCACACACACTAACACCAGCAGACTTTGTCACGCAGCTAAATAGCATGAAATGCTTGCGGACAAACCTGGCATCCACCTGGCTTGGCCGCTGCCCTCGTAAAATGGAGGAGAACGTGCTCGCAGCAGAAATTTACCCCAAGTCCCCTATGCAAACCCAGCCGCACCGGCAGTGAGGGCAATGAACACCAGCTGGTGACTGTCCCATCTGATAAGGCATCAAGAAGGTTTTCCGGCCACAAAACGGTCACAGGAGAGTCAACAGGAGCGGCTCATGTTGGTGACTTCATCTGGAAAGCACACTATTCCTCCCTCATCGAGGAGACAAAGGAGCATCCCACAAGGAAGCAAGAGGAGAGAGTTTGGGATCAGGCCCCAAGAGATGGGTCAAATGACCAGTGTTCATGCCAGGTGCTGCTGTCTGCTTCTTGCCACCCAGGCTTCATTACACTCGCTATCCAGCGTCTCCTTCACCCAGCAATATCCTTTGAATCCCAACTGGCAAACTGAGTCAACTCAAATCCTCCTGCCCTCATCCAAAGGTTCATTTTAAATCTCGTTTGTTAGAAATACCCCACAGAGCTGTTCTCTGAGCAAGGGGGACCCAGCATGCTTGCCCCCGCCGGACTCCTGGCACTGCGCTCCGATGTTTGTACAACCGTGGGTTACTCACAAGCTCTCTGAATTCTAGGCATTTCTCTAGGAAATACACGGTTGTCTGTCTATCTCACGCCTGCCTGCAGGTCCGGGAGAGCGGCTGCATTCCCCTCATTCCCGCCCGGCAGCACCGCTCACATTCCTGCCAGCTGCATGCGCTGGGCTGGTGCAAGAGCAGCGCAGGATCATGGCCAATGGCTGGGCTTGCAAATCCTAAGGGTATGCCAAGAAAACCATTTTGTATCACAAAAAGGCTTATTCATTACCTGCTGGTATTCAAAATAGCTCTAGGGCAGGGATGGGTTAAACAGAAGGAATTGGGAAATCTCACTCTGGCTCCATCCTGCAAGGCACAAACTACTACTGAAGCCAGGAGAAGCACGCAGTGATCAGCATCCCACATGATTCAAATCTTTACCCATTTACAATTCCCAATTCCATCTCAAATGCCTATTCTGTCCTCTCCAGACCTGCGTATCCATGAGGAACAGGCTACAACTGTGGGTTCAGCTCCGTATCCGTCACCGCTCAGCCTCAACAATGCAGCATACCAAGGCAGAGGTTTCAAATGAGCTTTGCTGATCTGGGAAAATGAAGGGCCCAATTCAGACACAGATCATTGTGAGCGTGATCCTACAGCTATCAGGGACTTCATCCACTATTCAAAGCATTCAGACCTTACCTGATTTGCGTGTGCAGACACACAACCCCCTCCAAAGCACCCAGCCACTAAAACCTTTAGCTGCAAATGCAAAACTGACTCAGAAAACAAAGAGCCTTTAAGATAATTCATCTTGTGTTTGGCACGTTTGGGAAATATAAGTTATTGGGGTTTCCAGTCTGTTAGGGGGTGTGTGACGTGCTGGGTCAATCCCTGCACCTTTTGCCCCACATCAGAGATTCCTCACCAGTCACGAAGCTCTGGTTTCCTTTCTGGACCAGCGTGGCGAAGGCTGAGGATGCCGCCACCCCCCTGGTCCCAGTCCTGAGCATCGCTGCCTTGTCTCCTTGGCTCCTTCCTTCACATCCCTGGCCAGGTCCCTGGGGTTAGGGACACAGCCTTACCAGGCTCACGGTGGCCTCCCGTAGGATCAGCCTTGTCTTCCCAGGCAAACCTTATTACTACCCTTCTGGCAAACACCTCGTCTTTGCACGGGACGCAGACCAGCAGGACCAGGGGAACTGTCCTTAACTTTATTCACACCTGCCAACCCCAATGTTTTCCCCCGATCCTCCCCTCCCTGCTCATCCCAGCCACTATTTGTTATTTTAGTGCCTTTTAGGGGCTTTGGTAGTTGCCATGAGTCATAACATCAGAATTTACTTATGAAGAATCACAGATCAGACACTCTGCAGTGAATATTGTACAAGCTCGAATGAGAATTAGCATAGATGGGCTCAGTTTGATTTCATGCATTAGAAAATGGATTTGGTTCCCATGGGGCTAGCATTTTGTGCAAACACAGGGCCAAATGATTTGTTACTGAACCTGGCAATACATTTACTTATTTATATATTAAAACCCACCTCCGACATGGAAATCTCATCTGCATTAAGTCTGTTGGGTGAGTAATCAAAATCGATGTGAAGCAAACACTCAGAATACACCAACCGCAGGACGCACTGTGGGTTTTATTGCTGGTTTTCACCTTTTCAGAGGAAGCTCCAGAAACCTGGTACAAGAAACCTCCCATAACACTGAGGTCCAGGCTGCTCCCAGCAGCCAGGCTGTGAGAGTGACCTGTGGGTGTCTGGGCTAAAGCATGGGGCAGGAGGGAAACAATAGATTTTGGAAGATGCCCCAAGGTACCGCAAATCCCAAAGAGATGCCACAGAGGCCACAGGGAACATTCAGGAACATTCAGGAACCCAGAACTCTCGTAAGATACACAACAACAAGGGGCAATTCCCATTCAAGCACAAAATTTATCACTGCTCCCCATCCCATCGGCAGGAGAGCTGATGTCAGGGGATTTCATCCAAGGCAGGACCATGCAGACCAGGAGCAGCATGCACAAAGCAGAATTACTTCTAAGCAGCCACGACACAAGACATGACTCTCAAGATAGTGCTGCACCCAGAAGCAATTCAGTATAGGTGGGCAGGGTACAGCCCACGGACTGCGCATGGGTTATGAATGGAGGCATTCAAGTAAACCCAAATAAAGGCCAATTAGCTCAACTTACATTTTATACTGAGTTTTTGAATGCTGTAGGGGCCAACGCAGGACTAAAACAACAAGAGATTTGACTCTCTTGCTGCTTTCCACCACTCAAGAACTTAAAGCAGTCAGGGAAGACAAGCTCTTCTGTTGTTTCAGCTCCTGGCCTTACAAAAAAAGAGAGGAAAAACCAGCCTCGTGCATGCTGTGCTCACAACTCAAGGCACCACCAGGACGGTAAGCCGGGCACCGAACGGGCTACCCGCTCTTGCTGGTGCGTCGGTGCAGCTCCGAAGGGGGCTTCCAAGATGCTTGGCAGCATCAGAGCCACGCATCTGGGGAAAGGCAGGTCAGATTACATGGATATGATTTTTCATTTAGGTGGAACAACCACCAGTGCCGATGAGCTGAGCCCATGACATCCAGCCCTGTTTGCAGAAAGCTTTTGCTACAGCGACAGCCTGACTGCAAACAGGCAGGCAACCCCAAAGTCGGCACAGAGGATCCCGAGTCACTGCCGGCACAGGGGTCAACAACAACCTGGAGCCCCTGGGAGCAGCACAAGGGTTCATCTCCAGCCCTCCCCCTCATCTCCCGGTGCCCTGGCACCCTCCCTGCAGCATCCTGCTCCACCACAGACCATGGTGGGGAAACACGAGCCCAGCCCAGCCTCGTGAAGTCTGTGCAGCACCCAGGGAAGGAGGGAGGGAGGTGGGACAGAGATACCTCCTGCACAGGGTGCAAATTAGCTTGCCTCCACATTTCGACATGACTTTGTGGCATCACAGTTCATCCTTGTGGAGAGGTTCCCACTTCAGAGGAAAACCATGACAGATAAGCAGGAGGGTTTGCACTCAAACGTGCCCAAATCCCAGGGTCAGCGTTCCTGGGAAGCAGCTGAAATGCAGGGGTAATGTGGGAGCTTCCCTGGAAGCAGAAGGGGTCAAGGAGCAGGGGAACAGCAAATGTTTACATTTTCAGGTCGGCACACAATGAAGAGAGACATTTAAGGAGCCAGTGGCTAGAGTTAGAGGGAAAGCTGTTGTCACTGTTTCCCTGGCTACAGCATGCCTGGTGCTCAAGTATCCATGTCTGGACACCTTATTTACAGAAAGTCCCAGTGAAACTGGCAGCCGTCCTGCAGCGCTCAGCCGAAACCAGCACTGGAGAGGTTTGTGAGCGGGCCGAGGAAAAGACGGATGGACTTGGAAAGCTCTTGCCTCATGGGAAGGTAATTAAGCAGCAAACTGATGACTATTTAAAGTAGGCGAATGGTTATTCTTGGTTTAAGGTCAGGGAACAGAGTTGAGCGACAGCACCTGAGCTCACCCCAGAAGGGCTGTTCAGAGAGGACCCCAAGGAGGGATTATTTTTCTTGCCACTGTCCCCAAGCCCTGGACCACCTTTGGACCACCTCCTTCCCTCTCCCTTCCCAGCCTTCAGACCTTATTAACCCTCTGCCAGCCTGTGCCCACCTCACCAACGCTGCATAGAAATGGCTGAGAAACAGGCACACTGCAGCCAGACCCTTTGACCACAGGGAAAAACTGTACGTACGTACAGCAGACCTCCTTGCGAGCTATTTACCTTGCATGCCTCTACGCTGCAGTTTGTCCCCTGCAGGAACATGGTGCCAGTCCCCACAAGGGCTGCTGTGAGCTTTTATCATCTTCAGGATGCTTTGAAGCCACCCAGACAGACAGAGCCTCTCCCCTGTCCCTCCGAGCAGCCGGGGCTGCTGGAATTCTGGCACTGGCACGTACAGTAAAGGCGAAGCCATGGTCTACATCAAACACACACTCTTCTGTAATTCATGTCACTAACATAAACCAGATGCCATCTTCCTCAGCCTCTGCAGAGAACGATGGCCTGCCTTTGCGTTACATAAAACAGCAAGAAAATGAAATTTAAACCTTCGAGAAAAAGCAAAATAAATAAATCAGTAATTAGGCAAAAAATATCCATGCCAAAAACAGCTTCCAAGTTTCCAGGAAGAATTAGGTTGTTTATGGAAGTCCTGTTTCAACTAACAGCCTGCCTGGCAGGTGGTAGGAATGCGAGTTTGTGGAGAGCAGAAACATGAAGCGGCTCTGCCTGGGGCACTGTGCTTTGCTTCACTGTTTTCTTGTTTTAGTTAAACGAGAGGAGACATTACAAATATTCAACAAAAGGAGCAGAAAGGAGAGCCGTGCACCAGCGCGGCCGTTCCTACCTTGTATGCCATAGAGTCGATTCAGGCGCGACCGCCTGGCCTCGTCGGCGTACGGCACGGCTACCCAGGGCATCTCGCTGAAATACTGCTTGAAGGAGTCCTCTGACCTGTGCGAGGGGAACAGGGCATGGGATGCAGACTGCAGCTCCTTTGCCTGCAAGGCTCTTCCCTCTGCTCCTCATTAAAAACCTGGCCTGCAAAGTCCTTTATCCCTTCCACCAAAGCCCAGCAGTAAGGGCTGCTGGCAGACAAACCTCGGGAGAGCCAGACAAGCATGAAATCCCCCAGTCCCTCAAGACGGGATCCATGGTGCATTTTTTTTCCCCAATAAAATATTTCCAACTCTCCAGGGCATCTGAATGTCAACCCATGGCGACAGCAGCAGCTCAAGCATCTTTCAGATCTCAGACCCACAAGCCACAGAGAGAAATACAGAGCTGCTCCATGGCCAGAGCCTGCTCTCAGTCCACCACTGCCCTCACTAACCCCTCTTTCCACTTCACCGCTGGGCAGAGGGTAAAGGACTCAGGCAGCTTTTCAGATCCCAGAGCCAACCTGCTCTACCCCAAATCAAATTTCCTCCTTAAATCAAACTGGTAATGTGCAGAGCTTCCCAGCCTGGGGACAGCCAGCTCTGCCTGCACAGTGTGTTAGTGCTTCCTTACCTGTCTGCACTAACGAAGACTATCTCAAACTTCTGGCCCGCCTCCTTGATTTTTCGGTAGGACTCCACCAGGACCCTTGTGAGGCTTCGGCACGGCGGGCACTGCGAAACACAACATAACCATAAGGACGTCGTCTCCTCCACAGGGCCAAACCCATGCCCAGAAGGTCCAGATAACCTAATGACCATGCAAAGGCAGATGTGATCTCATCTTTGATGGATGCCAGGCAGCAGCCCTGAACGTGGCTGGGACTTATGGCCCATAAGTTGCCAACAAAACTTCTTCCACTTCTAAAATCTGACCACTCCTTCCCTTCTGAAGGACCAGCTGAGGACAACAGCCTACTGCAATGCTGCAGCTTCTTCCACGACAACTGGAGCATCTTAACTGCTTCAACGTCAACTGGCCTGAGGTCTTTACTCTCCCACAGAGCTCTGCAGCAAGAGCTGCAGGGGGATCCCCACAGCACCTCCAAGCCCACTCCGACTGCTCTTCAAAGAGCCTACTACTCACCCAGTGTGCGGAGAAATAGACCCCGACGTGGGAGCCCTCCAGGGCGCTGCTGTCCAGCGTCTGGCCATTGTTCCTTAGCAGAGGCCCAGCAACAACTTCACTGAAGGGTTTTGGTCCCCAGGGGAACTCCAGACCTGGGGAGTGGTTGGGACGGGGGTGGAACAAAGACAGAAAACAGCAAGATGCACAAGCAGCATTTACAGTTTCAGCAAGTTCCACCAAAAAAAACATTCCACCTTCTGCAAAGATGTGGGGGAGCCGGGGAAGCCAAGCTCTGCACCAGAGCCAGGGCCACCTTGTTCTCACAGGCAGGCTGCACCCTCGCCCGAGTCGCAGCACCTTTGGCTTGATGAAGCCTGCTCTGGTTTTGTGCCTGACGAGGCATCTTTTCCTTATCAACAGCATTTTTTTAACAAGAGGGCAAGGTGCTACGCGCTCAGGAATGCAGTCAGACTATTTGCCTTATACTGATACTAACCTTATTTTTATTTATTTATTTATTTATAAAAGCTTACATATATATATAAAAAGTGGTTTATATCTAGGTTTTTATATATATGAACTAAACTTAGACTAACCCTCTGCACCCCAAAGCAAGCATGTGTGCATACACACAAACACATGCTCCGAATCATCTGCTGCGAGCTCCCAGAGCAATCAATCTCTGTGCTCAGCCAGAGAGGAGGAAACAGCACAGATGGCTCAGGCCATAACGTGTACTTGCTGCACAGTTCCTGCCACCTGAATTAAAGATTCAGTCACCAAGCTCAGCATCTACTGCATGAAGAAACGACGAGCTGATAACACGTGTGCATGGCCAGACTAGTAGTTCAATGATGAGTCTGCAGACTTTATGAGTAAGGACACACATTTTGCTCGTTTTGGTTTTTGCAAATTGGAAGAAGATGGATTCAACATCAACCCCCAGCACAGTAAATCTCAGAAACAGAAAACAGTAGCGTTTTTCTGCTGCATTTGTAAAAAATGGGGAAGTCATTACCCTAACGGAGCGTAGGATGCCAGTGATAAAGTCCCACTCAGTATTTTGGAAGGATTCTGCTCCCAAGGCACAGAAAGCCTGGGCCCTCAGTCTGTCTGTGTACTTCTATCAGGGAAAAATCCAAACTTAATGTTTCAGTTAGTCTAACTTTTTCCTCATTAGCACTTCAGACAAAAATCCTGGAGGGGAAATCTTTGTTCTTTTCAACAAGCAAAACCAAAACACAAGATCTGGCAGGAATGATGCAGAAAATTTTATGCTGAAAATAATACAGTGCCTCGATTAGTTAAGTATGACAATAGTTGTTTGTTTCCATATTTTTTTTCCCCCTCCAAGGCAATTCAAAATTCTACAGCACATGAGGACTCCAGGTCTTACCTTCTGGGTCATCTCGGATTACCAGGAGGCCGTTCCTGCAAACCACCTTCCCGGTGGAGGCATCGATAAATACCAGGGAAGGAATGTTGGAGACTCTGTACTTGTTCCACAGCTTCAGCTGTAAGAGAGGTCAGGAGGAGAGAGGAGAAAGGTAAGCTTGGCAGCGTGAAGAGGAAGATTTTGGGGCATTAGCACCTTTCAGACCAGAGGTCAGAGGTACGCACAGAAAAAGAGCTGGTGCTTCAGCAACATGGGTGAAGGCAAGTGAGGGCATCTCTCCAGAGCTGCTGGGCCAGCCTGGACACCCAGTGCCCGCAGAGACCCGCACCAGCAACACCATCCCCTCGGTTCCATGGGTGAGACCAGCGTTTTTGTCTCGCGCCTGTTGTGGGTTTGCCCATGAGCACAGATAAAGCTTCTCCTGCTGCGTTTGCCTCTTGGCAAGTACAATGGGGATAATATTTACCATACTTTTGAGGTCTTTGCTGAGAAGATATGGTAAGCACAAATGCTTTTAATGCCACTGCTCTGAAGCAATTTGTACTACTTCCCTGGCTGCTTCCTCCCCTCCCATTTCAACGCTCATTTAAACAAACCAGCAACCTCTGCCAAGACAACCACGCCGAAACCAAGGCCAACGCACAGAAACACAATTCTCCCGCCACTGAGGCTTCCCGGGTTTGTTCCCAGGAGCTGATTAACGGGTTTGACATCAGCCTGGGGGCCACGTAGCCCAGCTCATCTATCCCACGCTGCCAGCCTCGCAGCGGTCCCCAGCAGAAGCCGCGCAGGCTGCGATGGCCAAGTTTTGGGCGTCCCGCTCTAGATGTTGCTGTCTGCTGCTCGTTACGTTTTACTGCGAGCTCATCTGCCCACAACACCGGTGACCGAGTGCTCTGGGTGTCACCGGTGCCAGGCTGACACGCCTCAGTAGATACTTCTGGCACAGGATCATTCGGAGCTTAACCCACGCACAGCAGCTCACCGGGACGGGGAGGGATGAGACGACGGCTGCACGTGTGGGCTGGCTGTGGCCAGGGGAGTTGGTCTCCCCGCCACGCATGGAGGAGCTGCTGCGAGCACCACATTTACTTAACATTTCTCCAAACATTTCAACCTAAACAGCCCAGCAGTGGTGAATTACCAAACTTTTAAACAAAAGCCAAACCATAGCCGAGAGCCAGAAGGGAAGGAAATGAATCACCACCTTTCCCCTAACATCAAGCACTGCTCTGCAAAGCCCCTCGGGCTCCGGGTGTTTACAGCTCCCTTGTGTTTGGGGAATAAAACCCAGCCACAGGAGAAGGGCAGGAGGGGACCAAGAATCCCACCCAGCACCAGCATGAGGGTTCGAGCACAAAACCCAGAGAAACCCTCATGCCACATGCTGCTGCTTCCATCAGTATGTCATGCGGAAACTGGACCCACGTGCTTTCCCAGAGAAAGAGGCCACGGCTCTGTGGATCACCACCCCCGATTTCTGAAGAGAGGCAATCCCATTTCCTGAGATGGGAACGATCTGGGGAACCAGGCAAACAAGGGCAGGAAATGTTCAGGATCCCTTGGTTTGCTCACCAGAGATCTAACTGAGGAGAAGATCACATCCACATTCAGATTTTAATGGCACTGTATTAAATATTTCTTCCAACACCTTTTTACAAAAGATTGATCTGAATGAGTGACATGAGCCAGCCTGCTTGAAACAGGCTGTTAGCAAAACCCGCTTGGGTCTGAAGGAAAGTGTTAACACTGACCTAGGAAGACTTATCAACCTCCTTCCACTAGGACCCAGAGAAAGGCAACGCTTTGTGTCCTGCCCACCAGCCTTCCATTTCCAACAGACATGTTTCCTGGGACAAGCAGACTCGTTCGTAATGCCGATTCCCAAACCAAATGGCCTTGGGCATGAAAAAGAAAAAAGAAATCATACTAACCGCAAACCAGCCCCCTCACAATGAGCACGTTCAAACCACAGAAGGTAAAATTCACTTCTATCAAGTTTAAAGGGCGGGAAAAAGCTCTTTATAAGGATCACAGGCATTTAAGAAGGTGTTGCAAACAATGGGGAAATTACAACTAGCAGTTGGATCGTTCTCTTTAAATAGTTGCTTACGTTACACCTCATTTTGCCAAGCCCTTTGCACGTGAGCAGCACTCCCCTGTGGTACCTACGGCGGGTCGTGGCAGTTCTGCTCGGCTGGGGAAGCGGCAGGGTCTGTGCTTTACAGCCAAGAGACTGCGCCAGCTCAGAGGGACAGGGCTGGGACACTCTAGATAAGGAGATCAGACCATCACTGAGGGTCCACAGGAGAATGCCTCAAACAAGCTTGAAGCTAGGTGGCATCGAAAGGATCAAAAAGCAACAAAAAAGGTCAACGTGACACCTGCTGCTGCTCAGGGAGCACGTCCATCATCGGGCTCCGAGACTTGAACCCAATGAACATTGTTATCACACTCAGTCACCCCTTGGGCGAACGAGAAAAAGCAACCAAAACTGCCAGGTTCTACCTTGTGTCTTTGCAAAAGCTGCAAGCACCATGCAGTCCCAGACACCACCGCCCAGCTATCCCAGGTCATCCCAACGTTTGCAGCTTCATACACGCCAAGCAGTGTTTACTGAGCCTGGGTTATCACTGAAACCCATCATACGACATGGATGAACAAACTCGACAATTGCATGTTGGAAGACTGGGACTGGCTTGCCATTTTAAGCCTGGTTATAAAAGGCTTGAACTGCGAATTAGTGGTCTCGACGTACCAACGACGCATTAATTTCACCGTCTGTATCGGAAAGTACACGGATGTGCTGTCTGAAACAGGAGCAGTTTGGTTTGATGATTCCCCTGCGCGCTAGGAAAGCTGACGGGGAATGAGAAACGCACACAACGCAGGACAAGTGCCAGGATCTACCACCATTCCCACTGCCCTGGCCCTCTTCAGCCGGGCTCCGCTTCCCAACGCCTGGCAGACGCTTCCGAAGGAAGCCCAATGGCTGCTTTTACTGCAGGTCTGACCCGAAAGAGCAGAACTTTGATAGGAAACAGGTCTGGCTCATTTTAGCTGGGCTTTTCGGATAAGATAGCTCACTACAGGATTCCTGCATCACACCACTATTTTGCAGCCAAACTGCAGCTTCCAGCAAAGACATATGGTCTCCACCTAAAGCCTCTGGACACCAGGATGACCGAACCCATCTCATGGCAAACTATTGCAATGTATAGTTTTTCCTCAGGGTAAAACGCCGAGGGTTTGCATGCACGCAGGCTCCGGAAAGGAGACAAGCTCCTCCTTGGTCCCATGCGGCATACACCCGCTGGTTGTGGTCCAGGCAGGAAGGGGAAGCCAGGAGAAAAAAGGCATTCCTTGTCCAAGTACCTGCCCAACCGCTCACCTCGCAAAGGATCCTGCGTCGGGCCAGGCGTGGGATGCAGAAAGCAAATTCCGACTTGCTCTGAAACCGCAGGATGCTGGGATGACAGCTCAGGCAGCAGGGCAGAGTGCTGCCTCAGCAACTTTTAAAAGCTGTTTTTCCTGCCATGAAGAGGATGACATAGAAATAACATACTCCACGCTCTGAGGATTTGATCATCCATTTAAAGAGGGGATCTCTGCTCCGCTTCCCAACAGCTGTTGCAAATCTGCGGGATCAAGCCAAAGCTAACACAGATGTGGAAATAATCTACGGACTACTCTGCCCGAAAGCGGCTGATCCTCTCAGAGCACCCTGCGCTCCTGGTCCAGGCTGCACGCCTGCCAAACCCAATACTCACCCCAGGACACCCGCCGGAGAAGGAGCGAGGAAACACGCTCCCTGGCAGGACAGTGTACAGGCTGATCAGCTTCACAGAAACCTCTCTGGCTCCTGCGCAGGTGGTTACGTACAGCAGTCCAGTGGAAAAAACAGAGTCACTGGATTCCTCCAGAAACCTTATCCCTACGCAAAGCATCACCACGCTGTCCCAGAGGACCTGGAAACCACAGCTCTGGGCTCCCTCTGTGACTCCATCCACAACTGACCTTAAAACGATGGCTTATTATTTGAGGTCTGAGGCAATCCCAGGACGTCAGGCCACGCAGCATCGGTCACAAAGCAGCTCTTCGCACCGGCGGCTGGCTCGGTTATTTCCCCCACCCTGGTGACTGGGAAATGCCTGGCCGAGAGGCACGTTGGAGACAAGTTTGCAGGCAGCAGCAGTAATTTTTCCAGATAAAGGTGTCAGACGAGAGGTCTCCCCAGCAGCCCAAGGCTGTTTCTGCGCAGGGCTGGCACCCGGCCGGGGCGGATGAAATCCTCTCCTGCTCTGTGGGTACTGGTGGGGAAGGGATCCCCTACTTCCAACAGCTGCCGAGTGCTATTTTCGGTCGTGCTGATTGATTTATCAGCCCTTGGTCGCATTCACTCACTAACGTAAATCCCGAGCTGCAGCAGTTAACGCTGGCAAAGACAAAGCACAAGTGCTCGCAGTGAAACGAGCCCTGGCTGGTGGGGGCTGCGTTTCTCACTGTTGTGTGAACCTGGACCATAAAAGTCCTTGCACCTCCATCCTCCGTAGGATACGGAGCTGCCTCCACCCAGGAGACGTGGAGGTTTCGGAGGCACCTACCCATGCCAGCAGCAAGGCAGACTCTGCCACTGCTCATCTTGCACTCTGACTTCTACCCTGACCAGCGACAGCCAAACCTGGTTTAAACCTCCAAAGCAGATCCCTCAGCAACAACAAACACCTTCCCAACGTGGATGGGTGCTGCTTTTCTGCTGAATGAAACGCAAAGCCACTTTTCTTCTAAAAATTCTCTCTTGGAGGCAACATCCCCAGGGTCTGGGCAATTCCTTCAGTGAAGCGTTGGAAAGTCCCTGCTTTCCAGCAGCCCCACGAGTGCCCATGCAAGACCGTAGTGGGGTTTCCAGCACAGACACGAGCTCAGCTCTTGCTGGTGTCTCATTCCAGAGCCGTATACTGAAACACGAAGTTTGTGTGAGGAACTCACAAGCAGCACTCGGGTGGAAAAGCGCGCTTGGTCCAGGGCCATGGGGACCAGCAGAGCCCCTTTCCCAGCTCTGCCTCCAGCTCCACTGCGCAGACCAGCTCCGGGCTGGCGAGACAGCCATGGCCATCCCCACCGCTCCGCTCCCACCGCCCGGCGCTACGGGAGACCTCTCTGTCCTCGCTCGCTCGCGATGTTAAATTGCGGCTTTTACATCGTGCCCTAAAGGGTTTACAAGCACCGAGGGCCACCCAGGCTCTGCAGACAGCAGGCACGGGGCTGCAGAACAGGCTGCTCCCTCACCCTGCCGATTTAAATCCAGGTCAAGCCTGTCCCAGCGATTTCAGCTCAGCTCGAGCGAAGGCTCCTCTTCCAGCCCTCCCTCTCCGCTCCTTTCCCTTCGTGCATGAGGAATCCCCTTAAATGAAAGGGGATGCAGCGCGGGAACGATGCGCCGCCAAATCGTAGGGGAGGCGTCGAGGGCAGATGGTGCACGCCAAGGTCTGACCTTGCGACACAGAGGAGGCTGAATGAGGCTTGGGAGAAATTAATGTCTATTGTGCTGCTGTTTCTCTCTGAAAGCAAATCAAAATCTAATTACGAAATACAATGGTGTGAGAGAGGTCTGCTCCGAGAACATTAATGAGCTGAGGAGGGAGATGTGGAATTGCAATAAACAAGGTTGATGTGAACGGCTGATCCTGACGGTGCAGGGCACCGGGGCTGCTGGCACATACACACCGGTGCCACCATGTTACAGTTCCTCTCTGCCCACACACTGCCTATGGTGGGAGAAAGCCCAGCTAAAACCAACCTTAGGACCAGCTTCCCCCAGCACTCAGCCCGGCGGCGCCTGCTGCGGATGCTCCCCCCGCCATTCATGTTCCAACAATGTGACTCAGTGCAAGCAGAAAACAAACAAATCAAAAGTCTTGCTCGTCACCTCCATCCTCTCCTTGCTGCAGCTCCATGGGAGACTGGCACAGCATGGTCCAGCTTGTGGCCACCGGCATCGCCTCACAGTTGGCGGGGAGCAGGGGAGACCCTGGCAGGAGCCAGCTTGCAATCCCAGGCTTTTGTTCTTCCCGGCCATGAACCATAACAGCAAAAGCTTTGGAGCCGAAGCAGAAGGAAATCCTCTCTGCGGGGTGTTCCGGCAGCACGGCTGCCAGCGATGGGCTGCTCTTTGTTCCCCTGAGGAGCTCTGCAGCCAAAGCCATGGGGTAAGGGACCTGGGCCAGCCCAACCTTGCGTCCTGGTCTCCTCGCTCCCTCCCGTTTTGGTTCTCTCACCACCCTGGTCGCCTGGCACCAGCACCATCGCTCTTTGCAATTTCCTGGGCTCCACCATCCCACTGACGGCGAGCTGAGCATTTTATTTGAGGGCGAAGCAGCACACGGCTGGTGTGCGTGCCCAGCTCGGAGCATGAGCTGCCTCCTCTCCTCCCGATGCATGTGCAGGCTGACAGGCTGGATCCTCCGCAGCCCACATCTGATAGGAAAACATTTAATTTGAACAGAACTGAAGAGCAGTTAACATGATCTATGGAGAGCAAAGCCCCAGGGCCCGGAGCCGACACGGGAGGTGGCCTGGTTGTTTCATATGTGCAAGTTTCAAAGCAGCACTGGGCTGGCAGCTTGGTTTGATCCCAGGATCAGGGCGAAGTAGAATTTGTCTAAACGTACAGATAACACACAGGCAGCAAATCATGCGGAGAGGATGCTACAGACAAGTTGGTCTATCAACACTATGATGATATATTTTATAAACTCTTTTTTTTCCTGAAGGTGTTCCTCAAATTGTATTCAACAGCCCAAAGATGATCTAGAATTTAAGGATGCAGCATCACACCAGGACAAGGAAATACACCTCCATGCATTTTCAATAAATGCTTTGGGGTTTTTTGTTTGTTTTTTTTTTCATGTGCATGCCTTGCTTTACCTCTTAAAAGAAGGCTGGCATGTGTGCATCTCAGGATATTTCATAAACAATTTTTTTCCCTGCAGTTCTGCTGTGGGCCAGGTACTCTCTCTTTACACCCAGGAGAACAGAGGACACGTAGCTCAAACAAAGATGGGTGCAGAAACCCAGGGGTTCTGCCAGCACCTTGAACCCAGCCTGTTACCTGTTTTTTAACAGGCATTTTTTCTACAATTTCCTAGTAGGTAAGACAGCAAGACAAACACATTAAAAGCAGTGAGGACAGAGGGAGTTAAAGTGTTTGTGGGGAAAAATTTAAGACACATGTAGAAGCATATCATACATGGCCCCTATAAATTACACCCCCAAATGACTAGCAGTGAGTAAGAAACAGCTATGTAAATACAAAGGTTGTAAGAAAAAATAATAACTTCCCTCTCTCTATGGGGAAAGGATATTATTCCATCCGTTTATAGGCAAGGCGAGGGGTGGGGTGGCAGCCTGGGACGATGAATCGAAGTTCAGGGTCTCTCTTGGTCCCAAACCTCATCTGTCATTGGAAGCGGGACGGCTGCCAGAACCGCCGCACGTCACAGCGCGGGTTTCCGACCCGCCGCCTTTGCTTTTGCCGCTACCGTTCGCTCGAAGGCGGCCGGCATCGAGCGCTGGTAGGAACCTCGAGGTCAAACGCCTTGCAAGCCCCGACCATTAAGAAACAAGCACTTCTGAAAAGCCCTGAGTTTAGACAGAGTTCCCACCAAACACAAAAGCCTTTTAAATCTGCAGGGAAATGGGGATTTATTTTTTTTGTTGTTTAATGCACACAATGAGGTATTAGTGTGGTTTCTGTTTTGTTTTCAGTGGTTAATCCGAAAGGGAACCTTACACAATCAGACCAAAAAAATGATGGAAAACAATAGAGTACTTGTTAACGCACCCAGGGCAGTAAGGGCTTCAGGGTGCCACAGCACCCAGAGCCTCATGAGTGGGAACCTCCCAGGACACGCCAGCACCAGAACATCCCCCAGACCAGCAACATGGGAAACCCTCAGAAAACCACCACAACATCTGCACACACCTTCTTGTGCCCACGGCTGCTGATGCACCCACTGTATGGGAAACCAGCTCATTATGCAGCATCTTCTGAAAGGCAATAGCTCATCCACAGCATCGCTGCTGACGTTCCGCTACAAAAACCTCCACTCAACACAGCACTTGCATCACCACAAACACTCAGACTATGTAAAAGCAACTACTTTCCTCCAGTTGGTCTCAGGAGAGGGTGCACTGGTTGGTCTGGCCATCCCTACAGCTGCATCCATCTCAGCGTCTCCGAGCTGACGGTGCTGAATCACAGTCTGGCAGCGCTCCTGGTTTGCAACCCAAGGAGGATTTTCATGCAAAGGTTACACAGCTGCAGAGCTAGAGAGGCCATAACCACAGCCCCGGCGCCTGCTCGCAGCCCACGCTGCCGGGGCTTTGCATGCAAGGCAGGCAGCAGGCTCTGCTCGCTCGGAAGGGCGGCACAACTCAAGGGATTCACTCCGTAACCGCACTCAGGTCAAAACAAGCCAGGAGCTAACCAGACCCAGGTGCTCTCAAGCTCCAGCTGGAAAGAGCAATTTCCATCAGTGACAGCCCGGAGTTATCTCACTCCTCATCTCTTGGGCTGGAAGGGGGTCCCACAGCCTGTGCCAGCCCAGCGCACCCAGGTGCTTGCTGAGAGCCACTGAAGCCCACCCTGCACAAACATCCCATCGCTGAAACAGGGCTACATCACCGATAATGACGTGCTCTCAGGGGCTCCGTGTTCTCTTAACACACTCCACAAGCACAGCTGAACCCACAGCCATGGTGGCCTGAGCTGGGTGCCCTGCAGGGAAGGACATCGGATCGGCTCAGGAGGCAGGCAGGACGGATGTCACGGGTCAGGCTGCCTGGAAAATGTTCTCTTGCCAAGCACTTCTCTTCCTCCCACTCCCAGACCAACGCTCTCTCAGCTGCTCGGCAGAAAGGCTGCAAGGGATGGAAACCTAAACCCACCCGACGCTGAGCCATGGACCTCCAAACGGGAAAACGCCACTGTGAGTCCCGCGTTTGCAATTAATCACCCGTGCACGTTAAAAACCAGAGCAGAGCAAAGCTGACCACAGCTCAGATGCGCTAACATCTCACCTGCCACACAAGCCCGTGGGCACAAGGCTGGAGAAGCCATTTCCCCACCCAACTGCTCCTCTGCAGAGGGGCCTTCCCGTCGAGGGGTGCTTCAGCAAAGCCGGTGGCATTAGCTGCGAGGAGAAGGCAGAGGGACAGGGAAATCTGGAGGACCAGGGGAAGGAGCAGAGACATGGTTTGGGCTGGGCATGGAGGCAGAGGAGGGAGGGAAGGGATAACCAGTGCCAGGAGAGCCCAGAGGGGGCCGAGGGGACATGGGGTTTACGACACACACACATGGTGGGCCAGGTGCAGGCAAGGGAGGGAACCCGATCCATCCTGCAGGACCCAGCGCTGAGACACAGAGGCCCCTGGCTCCAGAGCCATCAGCCACGGAGGAAGGAGAGAGCAGGCTGGGGCTCCCTCTTCTTTATTTTAAGGCTTGACTGGTGTGTCTTACCACTGCCGAACCAATTAAAAAGATGAACAGGGACAGTGATAAATCAGTAACGAGGTCAAAAGCTCCAGCTCCATCCTGACTTGACTGATGGAAAACACAAAATTATAGTTTCTCAAAGAGGCTAGAGCCTGTGAGTCAGCACACAGATGAAATATGGCACCGGGAAGGCAGGACTGACTCCTGGTGTGAGCGAGCCAGGGGCATGGTGTCCCTCCCGCTGCCCCGAGCACGGCACAAAGGCAGCCATGGCAAAACGAGAGGCTGCCAGGAACTGATGACAACACGAAATCCCACGAGGGTGTTCAAAAGGTCAGATAAGATGCAGCATATTAATTCCCTCTACTGACAGCCAGCCCCAGCGGGAGGGGGAGGCTCAGGGATCGCAGGCTTCAGCGCGGCGAGGATGCCCGGCACCCGCTCTGCCCCCAAGGCTTCGAGTCGACAGTGAACCAGGAGGTGACACACAGAGTGGGATGTCTTTTTGGTGGGAATAAGGGAGGTTCTGTGCAAAAGGAAGAGCTGATCATGTGTTCTTTTATAAAACACCGAAGACCGCTGTGTGCTGGCAGCAACCTTGCTCAGATGTGGCTGCATTTCAGCTGTTACTATATTCAGAGTTTGTAAAATGCTCCGGGATGATAAAAATCACTCCAGAAACAGTTATTAAAACTGTTTCCAGGAAATTGATCCATGGAGACAGAGAAAGTCTGATGTTTTTACAAGAGCTTCGACTAGAGAAAGACCAAAGTTAAGGAAAAGGTTTTGCTTCCTTGTCTTTTCGGCAATAAAAAGGAGCTACATCAGGGGTTTATTTGATTCTGCAATGCACGAAACAACCATCAGTTGTTTCCTCAGAGGGAAGCCGGTCCTAAGACGGGCAGAAAATAACCCTCAGGAGTCACCCGGAGTTGAAGGCTTTCTGCATTAGTCAAGCTCTGGATTTGTTTATGTTCTTGTTTTAGCCTGTGATTACTGACTGTCCAGAAGAAGATCCCAGGCTAACAAAACACACGCTGCAGGAACAGAGATTTTATCCAGGAAAAGAGCACAAAGCACCGTGGGAGCACAGCCTGCCTTCCCGTCCCCACTCCAGCTCAATGGTAGGAAGCATCGTATTTGGAGTTGGACGAGCCACAGGAAATGCAAACGAATCATCCGCTTGCGTCTAAGCGGCTTTTTCCAAGGATCTGCCACGAAGTTTCAGGCTCGGTCACCCCTTCCCCACCCCAGGGTCAGAACTGATTAAATGCAGCCATGGAGTCAAACTCCAAGATACTCATCCCGTTTGGCCGCTCTGCGGTTCGGCTGGGAGCTCCAAGCTTTTCCCCCCTCTCCCTCCTTCTTGTTCAATTATCTTGCTTCATCTTTATTCCGTTTCCAGGAACACTTAGCAACAGGCTCTTGCAATCAGCCACCGGCAGGCGAGGATCTGAGAAGAAGACTCCGCAGTTATGATGACCTTTTACTACACTCATGCAAATTTTAAAGAAAGTATGCGAACAATCTGCCTTTTAAGTATCCTCCGGTTACATTCTCCAAGAGTTAATCCTCCTTCTCTCCTCAGAGACATCAGAAACACCAGATTTTATGATTTTAAACTAATGAGAATAAAATCTGCAGCTTAATTCCAGTTTGCTTTGTGGAATTTTTTTCTGTATCTCATGCAGAGTGCAGAACCCGAATGGGCAAAAATTAACCTGTGACATCTACCCCAGCCAAGACCACGGGTCTGCTCAGACACCGTATGCTCACGCAGCCAAAAGCCAAGCGTGGGCTTTGGGGTCCATCCCAGCAGCCAGCCAAAGTCTTCTTGAGATGGACAAGATGTTGTTGCTTCTCTTGGCGAGCGACTTCTACAGATTTCCATCAGAAGCTCTCATTCCAGGAGAGCTGAAGGGTATGCCAGGAGCCAAACGTAGCCGTAGCATCCCATAGAAAACGCAGCAGTTGTGATCTCGGTAATAATTAAAGCTTATCAGCCAAGGCAGTAGATAAGAAAGCTGGTGCAGTGGTTAAGGACTCTAATTCCTGTGGGACTTGCTGTGGTGACACAAGGAGTGCTCCTGCCAAATTCATCTCTCCCAACGCCTCTCCACTTCCAAAACAACCCACCGACCACCGCGAGGCTCTCGGAGGTGGGCAGCATCGATGCCCCTACAGATGGAAATGGGCAAATAACAAGCCTGGTTTTGGCAAACCACAGTGGCAAACTCACAGCAGCCATTTTCGCAGCCGCCTTGATGGGTGCCGGCAGCTCGCAAGCCGACCAGGCAGCAGCCTTGCATTTTCTTCAGACTTAAATCAAATTCCCAAAGCTTTCCAGCACTTGCCCCTGTTGCTCAGTAGTTTTCCCACATACACAAACAAGTTTGGAGACACCCCGAACACGCGCACCAGGACAGCCTGCACGGCCCGCAGGGCGCAGGGGTATTACCGCATTTAAGTCCTTTCTCCTTGAAACCATTTCTCCTTTCTCCTCCCCTTCGTGTTGGGAATAAAAAATCCTGTATTCCTTGCAGTGACTAGAAGCCGGAGGAGAGTGAATACCAAGGTACCGAGGCAGGCAGCTCACCTCCTTTTGCTTTCTGAGTGGTGTTCTTAAATAGAGAAATAATTTGCAGTGCCCTGTTCTGGAAAAAAAAACGAACAAACAAACAAACAGGCTCACAGATCCTTGATACTTCAGACATCTTAAAAGTACAATCTACTTCATTTTTTTTTTTCTTTAAAAAATGATAAGTCTGAATAAGCATGTCATTGATCCTATTGCTGGGAACAGCATCTGGAACATCAATCTCTGCCTGAGACTGCAGGAGAGCTCAAAGCAGCCACGGCTGCCCTTGAACCAGATGCCTCTTGCTCTTACAGAAACGCCTGTGGATCTGTGTGAAAATGATTAAGCAAAATCACTCCCTCTTTTTCTCAACTTTATAACTCAAATCTGTTTCCTCTTAGAGGGCAGATGCTCATTACGTACGCCGCAGCACATCAAAGGGCAGGAAAGGCAGGAAGGCAGCTGCCTCACCACACAGGGCAGAGCCAGTG